TCTTTCAATTTAGATCTTTTCAATAATACTAGGCTATTCAAGTTGATCAAAATACAATAATAATCAAACTTTGGTTGAATAAGCTTATTATTATAATTTCTTTCTTTTCTTTGTTTTCTTTGTTTTATGTTGGCTTAGAACTTGGTATACAAAAAAACAAAAATAAAGGAGATGCAAATTTAAAAGCATTACAATAGTATAAGAAAATTGCATAAAAAATACATTGTAGATATTTAACACAAAAGCAAATACACTAGAGACATGCATCAAGAAAAGAAAAGAAAAGAAGAGAAAAACATTAAAAAGAACTAAAACAATGTTAATGTCATAATGTCAATATATATATGGTTGCCATGTGTTGTCTTAGAAAATCTAAAATAGTTATCTCTTCAAATCTAATTTTAATTTTAAAACTTAGATTATCTAAAAATATTATATTTTTTTTAGTAATTTTGGGCTTTCTAAGTTGAACAATCTATGTTGGTAGCTAGACTTAAGATATATATTTTTTGTTATTTTTTTCCTTCTTATCTTCTACATAATTAGTTCAAATCTCAATTTGAGATATTGAGAGGAAAAAAAGAAAAAGAAAGAATATGGTTAAGAGAATTACATTACCAAAAAATAATTCTATCAAAGATACACAAGATACAAGTAATATAGATATAAGCATACCAAAAATATACTTGAGATTAGATTTTTTTTTTTTTTTTTTTTTTTTTTTTTAAGAATAAGATTATGCCAATGCAAAAATATTAAATCGCAAAATTGCAACTTTTGTTTTTTTAAGTTAGATATTTTAGCCCAGTAGCTAATTTGTGTAGTTAAACTTAGCTTATGTAAATCTTTTGAATCGCTTCAATGATAAAAAAAAAAATTAATAACATTAGATTGTCTAAATCAGAATTTATTTTTATTTGAATAAATATATTAATAATTTTTTATTATAAATTTAAAGTTTTGTGCAAAAAAACATAAAAAAGAGAAATAAGCCGCTTTACAATAATTTATAAAGATTGCATTAAAGATACTTAAGAAATAGACAATATACAAGCAAGAATTGCAAAACAACATTGCAAAAGAAGAAAAAAAATTAAAGGATGTTATTGTTATCAAATTAAAATACAACGTGTTGCTATATTAAATCTTAAAAAATCTAAATTTTTTAAGGCTCTGTAATCTAATCTAAGAAAGTAAACCTAGATTGCCTAAAAAATATTTAATTTCACTTATAGTATAAATATTCTTAATAATATTAGATTTCTTTAGTAAAATAATGTACAAAAAATCTAATTTATTTAAATAAATTTTATATTGTCTTTTGCTTCTTTGAAGGTCAAAGCTTGATGTAAAAAGATAAGAATGAGAAGCTTGGGGCATTATGACAACATATAGAGATAACATTAGAAACATCTTTATGGTATAAAATATATAATAAATGCAACAAGAGACATGAAATAGGATGCAGAAAGAAAAAAAAATACTTAAAAATATTGAAGCAATGTAAATACTATAATGTTAAATTATCTCTTATTATTGCATTTTATCTTAAAGGCTCCAAGTTTTTTTGACCTATTAAAATTTGGATATTTAAACTTAAACTATCTAGAAAATATTGTAGTCTTATAATTTTTTTATATATAATACTTGGTTTCTTTAATAATAAAAGGCTACCAAGTTATTAGGTTGTTTTAATTATACAAATTTTATTTAAGTTGGCTAGTCTATATAAGAAACATAATTTAAATTAAATAAATTTATGATTGCTTTAATAATAAAAGGCTACCAAGATATTATGTTGGTTTAATTATACAAAGTTTATTTAACTTCACTATTCTATATAAGAAACATAATTTAAATTAAGTAGATTTGTGATTTTGTAAGTGTTATTTTTTTTACCTTTTCTACAAAAAGATAAAATCTAATACAGAAAACAGAAGCAAAAAAAGAAGATTGGAAGCATTAATATGGTTTTTATAAATTTCATTAAAGATACATAATAAATATGCAATGTTAAAGAAATAATACCAAATAAATGAAACAAAAAGAAGAGAAAAAAATACCAAAAATATATTGAAACAATGTTGATAAAATAATTTTGAATTGCATATTATTATCATATTTTCTCTGTTGCTACTTAATTTTTTGGCTTATCTATTCTAATCTAAGAAACCAAATTAAGATTTTATATATATATATATATATATATATATATATATAAACTTAATAATATAATATTTTAAAATAAAATTAATTTTCATAATATTACTAAGCAAAAATTATTAGTAATCTAATTTCAAGTAAAAAAATTAACTCTTAATTCATTTACAAAAAAATTAGAACTTTCTAAAAAAAATTAAAAAGAAAGAATTGGTGGCATTACAATGATATATAGTTATTGCATAAAAAAATATGAGAATATAACATAAATGCAAGCACATTTAAGACATGCCTTAAGGAGTAAAAATATACAAAAAAAATGCTTAAAATATGTTCATATTACAATGTTGATTTATATTATATTATACTTTTTGTATTTAGATAGTCAATTTAGTCTTCTTCTTAGTCTATTCTAAATAACTAAGCCTTAGATATCTAAAATAATATTATAATTATTTGATTATATAAGATTTTATAAAAATTCAAGATTATCTTGCTATTATAAGGCTTCTTAATAATATTAGATATCCAAGTTAAATAGCCAAGATTTATTGTTAGACTTTGATTGAAGAAAATTATTGTTATTTCTCCAATAATTAACTTGGAGCATAGACATAAAGCATAAAAGAATGATAGGAAGAAAGAGATAAAAATTAAAAGTATTAAAGATATTACAAAATAAAGAAATTGCATCAAGGATATATAAGAGATATACAACAAAAAAATAGGTATGAATTAAAAAAATAAAAATAAAAAATATATATTTGATAGGATTGAGGATATATTGAAATATGTTTATATATATATATATATATATATATATATATATATGTGTGTGTGTGTGTGTGTGTGTGTGTGTGTGTGTATATATATATATATATATATATATATATATATATTCCAAATTACCTAAAATTTTAGGATATGTTATACAATAAGGGTAATCAAAATTATATTATTTAAAAATATTAGACTATTCAAATAATACATATATTACTTCCACCAATCCATCTTAATTAGCAAATTATTTTAAAGTTTAAAAAAAATAGATACAAGAAGTTATTAAGATTAGATAATTTATTTAATCATTTAAATATTTATTAAGATTTAGAAGGTCTTAAATTTTACAAGTGTATTTTTAAAGAAAAAATCATATAAATAGAGTCTTAATAAGTCTTCAAAGAAAATATCATAGTTTGTTTAATTTTTTTAATTATGATAATTAATGTTATTTATTGAGACCAATTTCTAAAGTGGTATTTTATTCTTAAGTATTATTTAGTATAAAATCATAAATATTAGATATTAGATAGAAATAACATGAAAAAAACATCATAATTTTTTAATTATTTATTTAAAAATTTAAGATATTTAGTTGATTTAAATTCATTTTATTAATATACAAAATCACTAGGGTATGATAAATTAGTTTTTATTTTATGTTAGAATCTTAGAAAAAATATAAGATTTTTTATAATTTAATTAGAATTTATCTTAAGATTTAATAAAAAAAATTAAAAATTTTCAGAACATATTTTCAAGACTTCTGATTAAAATCATTATACTACTTTGGAAGGCCATAATGAAGAATTGGAGCAAGATTTAAATACTCCAAATTTTTTGTAGGCTAATTTGATATTTTAAAATATCATAGAAAAGTATAAAAAAATTTAAAAATATATTTTACTAATAGAAAATAGGATGTCTAAGAATCTAAGTAGTAGTGATATGAAGGGAGGTGCATATATTGCATATAGATTGTAGCACCTTAGATATAGATAGGAAGACAAGTCTACGGCATCTTGGCCCCTTTCTCACACTCTATATACCACTTGAAAGTTTTGGTGGGACTCAAATCCTTGACTACTTCAAAAAGTTATTTTAAAGATAAAATCTAATTACTTCATTTTTATTTTTTACTTCATATTATTAAATTTTCATAACTTGCACACAATAAATTAGATTTATATTTTTTATTTTGAAAATAGAAGAATAATCTACACAAATATATTGTAAAAAATTAATATTATTTTTTACCAAGTAAAAATCTAGTGAGCAGATTTTAACAAATCTTGGAGTGTATTTGTTTAATTTTCTTTCTTTCAATTTTTTTTTCCTTCTTTTTTCCTTGTTTCTTGTTGATTCACTTCTCACTTCATACCACCAATTACAAAAAAAATCTTAGTTAAGGCCATCATCTACTTTAGAATGAGGGATAAATATTATCCTTAAAACATGATTTTCTAATACTATTTGGCTATCCAATTCTAACAACCCACTTTAATAAACCATGTTTGGTTTAACAGATTTGCTACATTCTCTCCCCTTCCCTACTAACAACAAGGTCAAAACTAGACATAAGAGAAGAAAGAATAGAGAGAATAAAGGAGATCACTTCAGCATATGGAAATCAATCAAAGGTACATAAAAGACATACAACATTGAAGTAATCATTTTTAAAACATGCAATATAAAGAAGATAAGATATATCTATAACAATTAAGATTACATTGAAACCACTATGCTAAGTTACGTATTATTGCCATTTCTGAAGGAGAATTGCACTTAAAATCATTTTAAACACAAAATTTGTAAATTATTTCTTTCATCAAATATCAATCAATTATTTAAATAAAAGAGCAAATCATTTAACATTTTGTGAAGTATTGTGTTTGTTCCACAATTTTAGTGTAATGGTTTTTTAGTTTTTTAATTTATTTATAATTTATTCTTGAAAAAATTCTAAGAATAAAGAAGATTTCAGCCACAACTCATCATTTGGAAATCTCCACATCAATGAAGGCCATGCATGTTGTTTTCCAAAATCTAAAGAAACAATGTTCAAACTTCAAATGATCACAATGTCATAATTATTGGACCCTCTGCAAAATTGGTACTGAATACCCGACAATAGAGCGTAGCTATAGTATCGACCTCCTGCCATTGGATTCCTAGTTCTAATCTGTCTTAAATGTAAATATTATGCAGTATTCCAGACTATAATTTTCTTTCATTAGCTTTAAGCGTAATCAAAAGCCTTGTGAGACACACATTCCTGTCTACAAAAACAATTGCAGAATGTTGTCAAACCACCTGCAAAGAGTCCAAATGCGCAATTATCATTGTTTGGGAAGTCACAGGGTCTACTCAAAAGGACCATGCTTGAACCCAATATTCATATTTACCTGAACACTATCTACATGCATGAATGCATTGATCACTGTCGAAGTGGCTGTATCATAGCAAATACTACTGGTAATTTTACCGTAACACAAGACTGCACCTACCAACACTATCACGTTTACGATCTAATATCACAGTCGATCACCCATGTCACAAAAAGAAGGTTGTCCGCAAAAAGTTTACATCACTATACAATGTCAGTCACTGCAGTTTATCTGTGCTAGTATCTGAACATTATGTTGCACATTCTTTGGGACCTTCAGCAGCGCCGCCCTTGACAACCTCCTTGGCTATGTCCTCAACCTGTGCACATGTTTTGTTATCTTCAGCTGCAGCACCCTCGGCGACCACTTTGGCTGGGTCTGCAGACTGTGCGTATGCAGTGATGATGGATTCACCAATACCTTCCCCAGCAGCCTCCTTGGTCGTCTCCACTTCCTGAGCACTTAGTTTGTTAGCCCCAGCAGCAAGTCCTGCTGCAGCCTGTTTGACGGCAGCTACGTCATGCGCATTCTTCACCATTGTTTCCACTCTCCTCTCAGCCTTTTCCACCACAAGCTCCCACTCCTCTTGCAGCTCCGCTAAATCTCGTCTCATAAACTCTACAGCTAAACAAGTAGCCCACACAGCTTCCCACTCCAGCTTCGAAAGGGTCGCTGCGGATTGTTTGCATATCTCGCCGAGCTTCACGTTCAAATCCTCCACAGTAGAAGAAAAAAGAGCAGCAATGTCAGGAACGAGGGGGAACGAGCCATCAAAAGCCTGGTGCTGCAAAAGACAATATAAACGCTCGTGCGGGTCAATTGGCGTGGGTGGTACTTCGACATGTTGTGCCCCCTCCTCCAATTCCCCACCAAATCCCTGTCGTGGACACAAATCGCAGTCGGTCGGAGGTGTAACATCATTAGGAGATGCCTCCGATTCGTTGTCGGAGTTCATCACCTCCGACTTCGGAAATTCTTCAAGTTCAGTCAGATTGCCAGCCGTGGAAGAACTGGATATATATGTGGTCGCTATTTCTACACAAGCAACCGGTTCACAAATATAAGAACATTTATACATAGCAGGCCGTGGGAAACTTATAGAATCATGGAGCGCAAATCCCATTTCGTCGTTACTGTCTTTGTACTCATCGTTGATAAGGCGCTGTTTGCTCTCGTCATCAATGGCCACCCAGCTGGTATACTTGCTGGACAGGTTGTAGCGAAGCGCAATGTCGAGAATATGCTGCTTCGCGATTCTCGACACATAATGGTCACTCAGTGGTACGTTCTTAAACTTCCTCCCTTGAGCCACCACGTGAATACCCAGTCTCTCCAGCATCTGCAGTTGCGCGGCCGGCGCGTCTTTTCCCAAGGCATGAACGTAGGAAGATCTTTCTTCCAGGTCCCGGATTAATGCGCGAGATGCTAGGCTATGTAACATGGTTTCTCCTTCCTGAACCGATTCGATGTTGATTTTGAGCTCCACAGGTCCGTCCTGGGACGTCCCTCGTAAAACAAGTTCTTTAGGAAGTGGTGCAGTAGATGACAGAATGGCGTGAATTGTGAACCTCGCGCCGCGGCTCAAGATTGGAGGTATGAATGGAGCCTGGTATATGGGGACGATGATATCAGGCGGTGGTAAGGTTGGGACGGGTGGAGGAGGCGAGGGCTCCTCAGGCGTCGTCGAGAATAAATTGATGGGCGGTGTGTTCCCGTCAGTCTCGTTGGAATCCGGCGCAACAGGCTGCGATGGTTCATCTTCAGCAATTTCTTCAACTATTACAAAACCGTCCACATGGTCTCCACTAGCAATGTCAACATCCCCGTAACCATTTGCTTCCGACCATTGCACGGCAACATTGGTGACAGCCGGCACTAGTGCGGACTTCAGCATATTGATCACCTTCTTCTCCATTCGCTCCCCTTCTACAATCAGCTGGGCGTACCCATCAGCAGCCCTTCCGACGGATTCAACAAGGTGGTGTGATACATTGGATCCGATGCCGAGAGAAAACACGCGCACGAAGTTATCGCTCTTTTCTTCTTTCTTGGCGTCTCTAATGCATTCAATCAAAGAGTCCACATCCCATATCTCTCCATCAGTCAGCAGGAAGATCTGCGTTGGGACGTCACGGCGGCGGTGTTCGAAAATCTCCTCAAACGCACTCATCATTTCGGTCCCACCCATGTCAGCCTCGAGTGCCTGTGCATAGCGAAGGCCCTTCGTCAAAGTCTCTTCATTGTATGGTGTAGACTTTGGAAATAGGGTTTTGTGGTTATCGCCAAATCCTATGATGTTGAAGTAGTGATCCTCGCAGGGAATGGATCTCAAAAACAGTTCCAATGCCTGCCCAGCCTGCTTGATGGGGGTGCCTTGCATTGAGCCGGACCGATCGACAACGAAGATGAGCTCTGATGATGACATTGGCCTAAGCGCAAACCGAGGTAAAAACGTAAGCGTAATTGCGTGAGTTCCATCTCTGGGGTGGCGTTCTACTAGAGCACACGGCTCGTTCAGCCCCAGGGCTTGGACGACAAGCACAAAGTCTTTTTCAAGAAAACTATCAGATGTCAAAGTCACTCTTGCTCGATTCGGTTCAAACGATTCCGCGGTAGGAGTCTCCCCAGAGCTGTTGCCGAGATGGACTTCAATGGTGTGAGAAGGAGATTTGATGGATGTGATGGCCTTCGACATGGCACAAGACATGTTCACTGAGAGTAATTTGAAGGGAGGAGGGAGTTCCAGGTTCACTTCCGGTGCAGGCCAGCCATAACGAGGCGCTATGACTGTTGGCAAGACAAAGCGGACCTGATTCTCTTCTGCATCGTGTTTCATCTCGGACCAAAGTGTGATTCGAATGATGATAGCCGTTGACGCTGGAATGTTGCCGATTGATGTCTGGAAAACATCGGGAGACTCCTGCTCCAAGAGACTGGCCAGTTTCCCTGCACTCTTCGCTTCTTCGTATTCCTTCTTCGCAGCAGCCTTCTCCTGCACCTTGCCGACAATTTTCCTGCCATTCACCTCTGCTTCGAATCCCACCACAGCCGCGCCCTCGTACAAAGGAAACGTGTAAACTGCATCAATTCCAGCCTCTTTCTCCGGATTCAAAAAAGTCTGCTCCAGAGTGTATTGCGCTACAGCATCGCGGATATGGCCCGTCACCGACACATGTTGTAGCGGGACACTCTTACGAGATTCCCGACGATCTTCCTTCCCCTTGAAGTAATAGTATAGGTCACACATCTTGAAAACTTGAGCTCCTCGAACTGACTAAAAGCCTTCTAAAAAGATACAGCAACCCAGGATCAAAGAACCACCTGCACCCAAGGGATCTGTCCAAATGGGGCTTGTATCCTCACGGAAAGGGAACTGGAGCAAGTTGCAGAAGAAGTAGAGCACAATGCGATCTTATGCCAGCCAAATTGATCACAGAATCTGAAAGAAAACAGTCAATAGCTCAGATATGGGTCCCGACCAAGAATCAATACCTCCCTAGCAGCTGTTCTATACAATCCACCCCCTCAAACTGACACAACAAAGTTGGAAGCAAACTCCGTCACTGTGGTGGAGACCTAGCGAGATACGGAAAAAACGCGACCCAAATGAGCAACAACGCAATGCAGACAATCCGATTCCAAGCTCTAGCTGCATCACCAGCGACAAGTGATTGACAAGTGAAAGCAGCCCGAATTACTTGTACCCACTCGGACCTTGCAGCAGACGCAACACAATGCTCGTGCACCGCCGGCGGCGAAAAATCGTCAGTTCTGTTCCACCTCATCGTGTCATATCCTTTGCTTCCAAGTCTGAAGATCCACGTTTGGTGAGAATCCAACTCAGAGGACGCATCGAGCCACCAAAGTGCGTCACCGACAAGGAACAAACCGACGGGGTTCTGTTCATCGCGAAGACTGAACCTGCACGAAAGGCGCCCACGTTACTTAGGTGCGTGGACCCCAATGCTTTTTTAAAAGCCGGCTGCTGACACAATCTATCCGTGAATGCATGAGGATGTTGTTGCTCTCTCCTGATTGTGTCGACCTATTCTTCGCCGCCCCAGCTGATAAGTTCCAGGGTGGGGCGCCATCTGTGTCACGGCAGGGGAACCCTGCTGCACTGTATCTCGCGTAGACCATTGGTGTTCCATAAAAAGGTGCTCTTCTCATGCCGCGTGAACAACATGATGCAACAAAATAGTGTCACAGTGGATGATAGACTTGATTCGTTCATATTTTAATGCTTCGTTTTATCTCTGTTTTCGCATTGCATCTGGACAGGGATAGTATGCATTCTGTCACGGATGAGGCCAGCGTCCGAGCACTTTCATGTTGGGTGAGGAGGATATGTTAAATGTTGCGACAAAATTTTCTTCAAGGCAATATATGTATGGATTCTACACTTTTATCTTATCATAATTGGATTTTTTTTTTTTTTTTTTTTTTTTTTTTTTTTTGTTTTTCTTCTTCTCTTAGATGACTTGTAAACTTACTCTTGTTGCCTTCAATTAATATTCACCAATAATTTTGCTCCATCTTGCTATTATCTTCTTAACAAGTCTTCTTCAATAGTTTTGATAAAGTACTCTCTTATTAAATTCTTGATTCATTGTTAAACTATCACTCACTCATTCATCTACTTTGATATCTTCCTATTGATTTTATTTTATTTTATTTTATTATTTATTTAGTTATTTTTTATTTTATTTTATTTTTATTTTTTTTATCTATTAGTTTAGCTTAGTTTTAAGATTCAAAAAAATTGATCAACTAAAAGTACTAGATTTAGCCAAAATCAAAACTTTATATTTTTAATATTTTTAATTTAAAAAAATTATATAGTAGAGTTTTAATTTAATTGATGTAACCAATTAGATCAATAATATAAATATATCTATATTTATATGTATATATGCATTTGCATGAATATATATAGAGGAATGATAAAGGGATCCATTCTATCTTAACCATCATTACACCCTTGTAGCTCCCATCTCTATTTCTAGCTATTTCTCATTTCCAATTGTTATTAAGAATAAGAGCGAGGAATAAGAAACATTGGAAATATGAGCGACAGTAAAGAACAAGAGAACAATTAAGAACAAGGATGTAATTGAAAAGATATAATGATGGTTTAAACATGTGGATTGATTCAGTAAAAATTTGGATCACTTTGTCATTTCCTTATATATGTATATATATATATATATATATATATAATTTCATATGTTGTAATTTATCTTAATGCTTCTATATAAAAGTATTATTATAAATATATAGACTTTTATATAGACTTTTATAATTTTTTATATATAGTAGCAATTTAAAGATTTTTTTTTTTTTTTTTTTTTTTTTTTTTTATCATTCATCATGCATAGCAATTATGGTTTAATAAGAAATAGTAATGATTTGATAAAGCAAAAAGAAAGAAATAAAACAAATCTTTTGCATAGTCTTTTTAAATTAAGCTCAATCTTTAATATGGTTTCTAGACTTCATAAATTTTGTTCTTTAATGTATATTAATTTGCACATTAAATTATTAAAATAATCAAATAAAAACTTTTATCTTTATAGAAATTCTACACATAAGAGAGTCTTTCTATAAAAGCTTGATCAAAATTGTTTTTAGTAGTTTTTGCAATAATCTAAAAAATAATCTTCAATACTAATATTTTTATATATATTAAAAGCTAAGACTAATCAAATCTTATTGTTTCTTCTTTCAAAGATATTTTTGTATAATTTTTATAAAAAATTATAAAATTAATACAACTTGTTAAAAAAAAATATTTAAAATTAATTTAAAAATATGTTAAAATTTATTGTTTGTAAAAATTAAATACAATTTTTAGATAGTACCATTACATCCTATAAGTTATATTTTATCTACCTCAATAATGCAATTTTTTTGGTATTGATATGAATTTTGACATTAATAATTAAATCTTTGTAAAAATAACCAAAATAAAAATACTATTATATTCTTATAAAAGATAAGAATTAAAAATTAAATAAATAAATTCACACACACATAAATAAACACCTTATTATTATGCTTCTTCATAAACACAAGAAATATATATATATATATATATATATATACAATATTTTATATCTTTTAAAATCATAAATTTTCATAAGTTATACTTTTATAGATTTAAAGCTAAATGTTGAAATTTCAAAAGATGATTTTTTAAATAGAACATTAAATTAAAGGATCTATTCAACAAGTTCTTTATTGATAATCTTTATTTTAAAATTTTCTAATTTATTTTTTAAAAAAAATTCTAAATAATTATTTCTTTGACTTTCATACTTGAATTTTATTATTTTATATGCAACTACCATATTTTTAAAAATAGTTTGGATGTATGACTAGTTTACTTTTAATTTGCAAGTAAAATATATAAATTGATTTGATAAAATTCATGAAATCTATAATTTACAATAATAAGTATTATTTGACATTAAATTTGTAATAACCTCAAACTACCAAAATATGGCAAGTTGATACGAAGAGGTTAGCAATTGTCATATCTTAACTATGATGGCTTTAAACACAAAGATAATGATCATTGTAAGTTTGGAAAATAAATAAATAAGTAAATAAATACAATTGACATTTATTGAGGTTATTACAAATTATTTTAATATATGTATTGACTTTTGAAGGATTTACTACCAACATGAAACAAATTATCTTGTGTACATGATCTATTTCTTTTCTATTTTAATAAAATAATACTTAAAAAAAATTAATGTTATAAGTATGTATTTCTCAAATTTTAAATTACTAATATAATATCTAGAATTTAATAACACAACTCAGCTCTTACTTTATATTTCCACTATTCAACTTAATACCAACATCCAAAATTTATTAAATACAACAACAATTTTTTTTCATTATCAATGGACAATTAAAAAGCAAGTTGCAGTTATTTAGTTTTATACTATTTTTTATAAAACACTAAATACTTCAAAATGCTTCTCTTTATTTTATGATACGCTACAGTAAAAAAATTGCATTCCTCTGGCTAAGATTGGGTCATAACGTACCTAGTTAAACAAAATGATAAATCAGTCTTTTAACTGAAAACATAACGGTAATATATTTTACACCACGCCTTGGATGTCCACAACAAAACGATGAACTGTAAAATGAACAATCAAAGGTTATTGAACAAGTTTCGAACCCAAATTGCATCAATTAACAAAAAGACAAAGTAATCAAGGTACAAAAGAATGACACAAATTGATTAATAACTACTCTTGACAAGCATTCATACACCTTATTCATCATCTATCATGAGCTGGCATTTAATTTAATATGCACACTTGAACAATGAACAAAATGAGATAAGTTTCGTTGCACATTCGGAGATGGATGTATTGACTGATTAGATTGTAAAACAAAAACGATAACATATTAGTCATGGATATTATATAAAAATATATATGCTCTCCTTGTCCAGAAACTGTGATATGTTCCGATCATGATAGAACCAAGCAGTGAGTCGCATTACATGTTTTCCTGGACTACCAAAAAAATAGGTTTTACGATAAATAAATAAATGCTTCGACAGCACTATCCAGGTATTTCCAACAGCATTGTATGACGATAACTACAACTATAAAAAATTACCTTTTTAATCCATTTTGCACAGGCGTGGTCTATTAGCAAGATAACGACCTCGTGATCGAATCATTGCTACAACACTACCTGTCATACCTGCCAGCACGAGTGTGCACAGATACTGGTATGCATCCGAGCCCACTGTACAAAATACCGTAGGAGAGATCCCAGGGTCCATTTGAGCAGTATTTTGGAATGAACCTTGATGCTCAATATCAATCAGAAAAAGAAATGCATAACTTCTTTTCATTTTTCAAAACAAATAACAATTATTTATTTACTTTCTGCGATTCTCTTTAAAAGAAAACGAGGCCTTACATTGTCGGGCAGTGATACTGGTGAAGTAAGCACCCACCACAATTGCAACTAAAGCACCTGGAAACTGCAATATAAACAAAATGGGTAAACCATCAGAACTTTAGTTGAAGAATTTTTTCATAGCTCAAGTTCTTTTATAAATAGTTCTAATGAAGTGCTTCTTACCGCAACAGTCTCGATCAAGGTAGTCTGAAGATGTAAGGCATCTCCAAGGGGATGGCCAGCGACAAGATCAATGCTATCCTGTAAACTCAGACACGATCACAAACCTTAAAAGGTTAATCTCACACACACCAACGCACACATATGTCTGAATGTGTATATATGTATACATATATATGTGCCAATACGTATGTACTAAAACAACTCTTAGAGTCTTCATTGAAATTACAGCAGCATGAAGTTAGATTCTGGCGAGCTTAAACAAGTTCAAACAAGTACTAAAGCTTTAAAATTATACAAAAGTGAAGTACATAACAGACCCACAAGGCCAACCAAGTTTTTGACGGATTGGCAACATATGTTGACATTTGTGGGAATAAAGGTTTCGAAAAATAAATCTACGAACGCAAACCTGTTTGATCCCATCTCGGAAGTTGTTTAGGTAATAGCGAGCAGCAGAGCTAAAAACGTCTTGAAGACGACCTTGAGTTGTCCGTCGGCCAAATCTGTTCAAAATGGCTAAATGACTTTAGACAAGTAGCCACAATGTTTAAACTCTACAAAAATCCTACAATATGATGACTAATATCAGTTCCTAGGATGTTTAAAACAGAATCTTGAAGTCCGTAAGTTTAATAAATAGGCACACCTCACAAAGTCCCCCCCTCAGAGCCCTGGTTCCAGAATATTGAATGCTTATTTCGTCTCCATGATCAGCCCATACTGAATTCAAGCATGAAGACTATAAGTACTCGAATATGCACTGAAATGTCATACAGAATAATATACAAAATACA